TTCACTATTTTTTATTTTTTCGTTTTTTTTGTCACATTTCGGAAATGTTTGCGCTCAGGGCGAAGCAACAGCGGCAGTTCGAGCTCCTTCTCCAGCTGGACGACCAAAATGAAATGCCTGAGGGCAGTAAATTTAAGCGGCTGGCAGGAGCTGGACCTGGAACTGGAGCTGGACGCTGGCGCTGGAGCAGGAGCAGGAGCAGGAGACGGCAATGGCCACGTGGCGTGTAGAGTATTTACCGCCATGTGCATAGTTTGCAAGTCTGCGCGGCCGTCGCGACACCTGCAGGAATGGCCAGAGCAGCAGCAATAGTAGTGGCCGTAGCTGGAACTGTGGCTCCACGCCGACATGGCCACTAACAACATCAAAAAGTGCCAAGTGCCAAGTGTTTGCCTTGGTCAGCGCAGTCCAAGCCCAAGCGTCGACATTTAATTTCTTCTTTTTTTTTTCAGACATACTTTTCACTCAGAGAGTTATATGATTCGGCGACGCAACATATCCAGAAGATGAGCTCACTTATCGAATCTTAACTTAAACTTATCTTCAAAGAAAATATGTGTAGATCAGATCGCATATTTGACAGAGGAATGATATTATATGCATACTGCCATCTCGCTCTGTTGCCTAACATAAAAGTTATCTGCAGTTTCATCCTGTGCTATTCTATCCTTCATTATATGCCTCGAATACAGCTATAACTCCACTTAGAGCATCTGCTCTTCGGAGTGGCTTAGCTAACAGTTCTTACTTCATTCCTCGTATATATATATATATATGTGTTTTTTTGTCACCAATTTTTGGCGCTGTGACATTTTCTGGACCCAGCCCATGCCAAGAGCCAACAGATCCAGACCGTGGCCTAATATGCTGGCCGTATAGTTGGAAGTATTTCTCTTACTTGTTTTTTTTTTTGCACTTGTTGGCTACTCTTTTATGCACATCGATTTTCGCTCAGTGCTTTTTATTTGCCAGACAAAATGGACAACGGACTGTGGACATGCGGCACGACAGTTTGTTTGTATCCACGGTTTGTTTATGTGCCTTAACTGGACACGAGCAAGTTTTAAAGCGACATTTAACAAAGCACCCAAACTTGGAAAAAACTGCCCACCCAAGTACCGCTCGGCTGCACTTCACTCCATTCGTCGAGATCGGCGCGTCCTGATTAAATCGCAAAGAACTGTGCTCATATGGAAATGGATGCAAGCTCAAGCTGAAATTTAGTCGACTGGGATCAACAAGTGTTTGCCGGCTACCGAAACCGATCAGCACAAGTTAAGTGTTGGAAAACACTCTCAAATTCTCATTTTCAACACTTTATTAAGAAAATTAATTAAGAGTGATTTGCGTTTCAACGTGACGAACATGTGCTTGCCAGCACTTAATTCTCATTTCAACTATCTACACTGAACAGCACTAGTTTAGTGTTGGAAAACACTCTTAAATTGTAGTATAAGAACTCTAAGAACACTAATCTATTGTGCATTAAGATTAAGCTGTGGTTGCCAGCACTTTCGACTAATCTAGTGTTGGAAAACACACAAATATCTTTATATGAGCATTTACCAACACTTGTCTGCATAGAATTCAGAAAATGTTGTGGTTCACTTCGATCAACAAGTGTTCGCCAGCACTTTCGACACTGATCAGCACCAGTTCAGTGTTGGAAAACACATTTATATGGCCAAATCATCGTATTACAACACTAGTCTACACTGTATTAAGATGAAATCGTGGTGCAACAAGTGTTTACCAACACTTCGATTTCTTGCAGAAAATCAGCATTGATAAGCACAGCTCTAGTGTTGAAAAACACACTTACATATCAACGTCAGCGCTTAACAACACTATTCAATATTCCAGTCCGATGATATTTTGGCTTACTTTGATCAATCAATGTTTGCCAGCACTTGCCTTGCTTTAAGCATTACTGCGTTGATCAACACTGCCGACTGCAGTGTACTATCAAGTGTTAAGCAACAGTTAACTCTCTCTATATATATATGATGTCAGAGTTTTCCATTTCCCCCTTCAGGCTAAAGTTTTCGCAGTAATAAATATTTTGTTGCATGTGTTACGCAGTTGTTAGATGATGCATTACTCAACACTGGCTGCCTTGGCTGGCTTCGTCAGTGCTCAATTAATAAAACTATTTTACTTCACTAACTCAGTTTGTGTCAAGCTCTGCACATGGCAGATGTCCGCCTCGCCCTTCCCTCCGACCTATTAGGTTGGCTTAGTTTGATTGTCGTCAGCTACTGCATTTGCGTTCATGCCACCAAATCGTGCAACAAAGTGAAATGCACTTAGGCCCTTCAAGTGCGTGTGTGCGTGTGTGCGTGTGTGTTGCATTCTGCAATATTGCATATTGTAGAGGCGCACTTAAATTCAATTAAACTACAAAGGCAGTTAGGCAAAAGCCAAGGACCGCACGAGTTCGACCAACCTAAAGCGATGACGATGACGATGACGATGACGATGATGGCGAGCATAAACTGAGTGCTCTTTACGCTGCCCCAGCCCTGCCCTGAACTGACATTCACTTATTCATTCATGCACCAATTCGCTCAAGCATTCAATTCATATGGCTTTTACTTCGATTGTTGCTCTTTGTACTCGGCACTCGGCACACAGCACTCGGCACTCGGCACTCGATGTTTTGTAATGAAGCCTTACTTAATTAGATACTTGATAGATGGACCTGTGAAAGTGCCTGCCATAATTGCACTTAATTGGTTTGACGGGCGTCCATTATCAAACTCGACCGAAACAAAGCAATTGCAATCAAGAGCACAATTATTATTAGCACTATTAATTTGCGTTGCACCTGCCACGCTTTGCTCCAGCTGTTGCGACAGTCTGCAGTCAGGGTATTCGATTGTCGGTGCTGTGCGCAAAAGCTTGGCGAATTGGTTTTTGTTGCTCTTATGTCGCCTGCGTGTTGGGTGTAAAGGGATCTACGAGCTATGTGGAGGGAGGGCGGGAGGTAGGTAGGGTGGGTTGCAGACCAAAGTGGGCGTAGGGGCGTAGGGGCGTAAGGGCGTAAGGGCGTGTCGCCCATGTAGCTGCTTTCTAATTTCATTTACACGCTTTTCAACACTGCTCCACATCAATCGAGCTGCATTCAAATGTTTTTCTAGCTGCACGCCCAATCGACTGACTGACCCGAAAGGGTCATGCGGACAGGTAAATATAGAATGGCACAGACACACACCTATATGAGTATATGTAGATGTATTTTGATAGGTGTTTTAGACAGCAGCACTGCAGAAAGCAGAAACTCGTTGCTGCATCTTTGTGAGTGGAGCGCAACGCTTGGCTGGCTGCTGTTCCGTATACATCTGAAGATGATGTTGATGATGATGCCCGATGGAACTGTTGCTGCTGCTGCTGCTGCTGCTGCTGTTACTATGTACAACTAATTCCATTAAAGCAAGCTCTAAGTTGATTTTCAATTGACTCCTCATTTGTGTGGGCAAGGAGAACGCGACGGCAGTGGCATTGACAGTGGCAGAGGCAGAGTCTGCGCTGTCAGCAATCAACATGTTCAATTGAGCATATCCTGCCTGGGCAGGACACAGCGACAGAGCGACGCAATGTGATTACCCAACGCTATTTTGTACACACACACACACGCACACCGCCAGGACACAAAGACACATCCTTGCTGTCTTGCGTCTGTCCAGCGGGCGAAACGTTGGTTGCCTTTTACATTTCATTGGATTTTATGCGTTTTACTTTATGCTGATGTTTTTATTATTAAATTTCCTTGAATTTTCATTTACATTTTTTTTTTCGTTTCATTTCATTTTTTTTTTTTTTGTGTTTTGTGTTTCGCTTCAGCTCGCTGCTTAAGCTTGCAACACTGACCCGCCCCAATGGAAATGCCGCGCACGCTTTTATCCTGCTGCTGCCGCCGGTGCTGCCGCTGCTGCTGCTGATGACTCCTCTTCATTTTCACACTTTTCATTCAATTTATCGCATTTCGCAAATTGAGTGTCGCTTTCCTTAGATCTTCTGCATCCACTGCCCTTGCTCCGGCTCAAGCAGTGCCTAGGCAATGCCTTGATACCCAATTGTGCTATTATCCTCCATTCTCGACGCGACGCGAGTGCCACTTTATAATTAGCTATTTTCAGATCTGCGATTTCGATTCGCCTACTAGTTAATGCAATAATACAATGCGAGCATAGACCCAAACGGCAGCTGTGGAACTTGTATTCTGTTTGAACTGAGTCTGGAGCGATTGCAGTGCGCAGCTCGCAGCTCTGAGCCAGACAAATTCGAGCTTCGACCGAGGCTAATAAATATTTTCTTAACATTTGTTTTTTCCTTTGTTAATACCTATTCTCAGAGATATATATCTTTGGTTCTAATTAAGTATACGCCATGCCTCACCCTCCCATTTCAAGAGTTGCCAACGCTGCAGTTCACCAAGTGCGTGGGTTCGTGTGTCTCTGTGTGTTTATGTAGAACATATATATGTGTGCGTGTGTGTGTGTGTGTGTGTGCGCTTTCAGCGTGCTTTCAACACCTTCAGCCAACTGACTCCAATCGCTGCCAACGCTTCCCTCACACCTCGCCCCCTTCTAACCGCCATTCAACCCATTCGCGTTCCAATTCATTTTTCAAGCATCCCCTCGCTCGTGCCGTACTCCCACTCCCGGGGGCTCGAGTCGTTGCTAGCGCCTTATGCACGCTTCATTTTTGGCAGCTCATGAATATTCATGGACATGAACGCGCAAAGGCTCGACTAGCTATCTACTGGCGTCAGCAGCTGGACTGGAGGCTGAGGCAGAGTGAGGCCGAGGGAAGCTGAGAAAAAGTAGCGAGGGAGATAGAGATATATATGTAGAGAAGAGAGAGAGAGGAAGAGAGAGTGGGCTGGAGGAGGAAAGTCCTGGCATATTATGCAAGTCATATTTTTTGTCCGCTTGCCGCATTTACGCAAATTGTTCACGCCCCACGCTTGACCTCTTGACAAACGCCCCGCCCCCTACGGACAGGCACGCTAGAGTATGTTTGCAGTCGGTTTATTTTTTGGGGAAATCTGTTTAAAGTTGGTTACGGCTGCGGTCAGCGCTAACGTTAACACTGCTTGCCCCGCTGCTAGCCGCTGTCTCCTCTTCCTGGTCCTGGTTATGGTTCTGGTTCTGGGTCTCGAGTACCTGTTCCGCCGTCAAGTCCGATGCCCCTACCAGCTCCAGCCCCGATATCTGCTCTGACACCTGTTCCAGTTCCTGCTCCTGGTCCTTATCCCGCTCCTGACCGTTCGACAGCATTACCTCCTGCTCGAACTTGGAGCTGGACTTGGACTTGGGCATTGCAAACCGTTTCGTCCAGTAGCGCGCAACCTTATCGTGCTCCTTCCGATTGCACTTGTACTGGTCGGCAATGCCCATGACAAGTGGATCATTCGGATTGCATTCGCCAATGAGCACCCAAATGGATAGCAGCACCTTGGCAATGTTCATTACCGGCGACCAGCGTTCGTTCAGCACGTCCAAACAGATGACGCCGCGACTGTCAACGTTGCAGTGATAGATGCGCGTTATGAAACGAATCTGTGGCGGTCGGAATGGATACGCACCCGGAAAGCGTATGTCTAGCTTGAAGATGCCGCCCTCATAGGCGGTGCCGCTGGGCCCAATGATTATCGCCTTCCAGTGGAACAGATCGTCCTTGCACATCTCGGCGCTGCAGTTGGGCGGCGGATTCTGTACGATCTCGTTCAGCTCCCGCTTTATGCGCATCACCGGCCCGTTCAGCTGGGTCATTGGCATTGCCGAGCCAATTCTATTCGTGTTGCTGTTGCTGTTGCTGTTGCTGTTATTGTTGCTGTTGCTGTTGCTGTTGCTGTTGCTGCTGCTGATGTCGTTGGTATTGATATTGATATTGCTATTACTACGGCTATGGCTATAGCTATGGCTATGGCTGTGGCTATGGCTATGGCTGTTGCTGCAGCTGGCAGCGCTGACTTGCCGCTGCTGAGAGCTATGGTGGCTGCTGTGGTGACTGCTCTGATGCTGCCGTCCCTGGCTGGTACTGGGCGCATTCTCGTCCCTGGTCGCCTGCTCGCCAGCTGGCAGTGATTTCGCTGCCATCGTGGTCGACGAGTTCTGCACGCTCTTCGCTTCGGATGTGCTGCCCTTGGCTTTGGCGGGCAACACATTCGACAGGTTCGACATGTTCTCGGGCTATCGGACTTTCGGGCTTCTTCTTTTTAATTTTTCAAATTAAACGATTGTGCAATTTGGAAAGTTTGTTATTGGAAAAATTGTTATTGGAAATTTGCTATTGATTTCTTGCTTTGCTCACATGATTTCTGAACTTACATTTCTGGAGTTTCCTTCAGAAACTAAACCAGAATCCCCATTTCCCTCTGTAGTTACAACAGTACAGCAACGAAATGCCCCAAAAACTATCAGGCGTCTCGACAAGTTATCGATAGACTCACTCAGAAAAGTACAGTTAAGCAAAGTTTGACAATCGTTGATCGAATATATCAAAATTTGCATGAATATTTATTTATTCTTTTTTTTTTTTTTTTGAATATTTGTTTATTTACTCAGCAAGCTGATGCTTCGATATAAATCGTATTTCGATGGTTGCGATAAATTATTTGCATTGGTTTGTATATTGAATAGCGAGAAAATCGTTCCATATATCGTGCCATCGATAACAAGCGATGCCTATCGCATGTATATCGATTACAGTTCTATTGACTTATCAACTCTTATATCGATATATAAGGGTTCTATATTGCTCATGAAACTAGATGAGAGCGAGAGCCGTTCGATATATCATATGCTTGTCTTATCGATGACACACGCTATTATATATCAATCTGTATACCCATATAAGTTTCTGATGATGTGATACATCGAATATTGTAACTATCGCTTGTGTAGCAATATATCGTATGCCTATCGCTTGACAAACTCTACTTACTCTACTACAATACGATTCTTATCGATTTGTATATCTTCATTTGAATTCATTATGTAGATTCTATGACAGAGCTTGAGCCTGCGAAATATTTATTAGATTTCTTGCTATCGTAGCAATCGATTGCACTTAGAGGTGAGCAAACATTGTCAATGCGATATATTACAGGGAAATCCTTTTTACCTGACAGCTATAACTTTTCTTTAGCTTTCATTTCAGAGTTGACAAGCAAGAAAGTTGTCCACGCGTATAAAGGTTGTTTCTCATGCTTGTTTGACCCTTTGTAACGGTCTTTTAAGGGGCTGGAATAGCGAAAGCAATATTCAGTTGACAAGGCCATCAAACTGAATGGAAGCCGAGAGTGAGGGATTCGTCCGCCCATTTGGTGTATCGCAATTTTCGCTTGCTTGAACAAGTCAAACGTTAATGAACTTAAAGAAATTAATTAAAGTGCCATCCAGACAGCCAAGTCAGCCACATGTGTCTCATCTGGGCCTCGATGGCGTGGTGGGCTGTGGGCTGGGTGTTTGGCTTAACGCCTGCGACGCCTTTATTGAAAACGACATCCGGTTGGGCCATCAAGCGGCTTCATTGGCCGCTCGACGCAAAGAAAATGCAATAAAAGCAACACCGAAAGGGATTGGGCAGCCAAGGTGTATACATGTGGGCGTGGCACTGGCAGCCAGCCAGTCACCCATCGAGACGCAGACAATATAGCTAAAAGTGGCCATAAAAACCTGCAACTAGCAGATGCTCTTCCATCCTCTCTCGCTGCGCCCCATGTCCCTCTCTCTCATTGACTACTTTTTATACCCCCTCTTTTTTATTAAACAATTATCAAGAACTACATTTAACCATTCACAACTTATAAACTTTGCAAGGCGAACACTGTAAACGATTCAGATTGACCTCCATGGCTGGCCAGTTGGGCAGCTGTTCGAGCTGCATTAGCTTATTCCAAAGTATGCCAACACCGGCAATCAGCTCGACCACTATGAAGACGGTCCACAGATTGTAGGTGACGCACAGCCAGACATTCTGATCGCCATGCAGATACCAGCTGGCGCACATCAAAGGCAAGCAGGCTGCCAGTGTGGAGAAAAGCAATAGCTTGGAGCGTGGCCCGCGAGGGCTCAGATTGAGAACGTAGCCGATGTAAATGCGAAAGGTCTCGATAAGCGCAGTCAGCAAATAGACCAACATCACGTTCAGATTCAAACGATGCCATTGCTGCAAAGGCAATCAATTAGTGACGCTGCACAAATTTGATCCTACTGATACTCACGTAGACGACCATGTAGAGCATATAGCTAAAGAACCAAGTGCAGGCAACATACACATTTCCATCCAGCAGCATTTGCATAATAAGGTTCGAGCGTAGCGGCATCACAATGTGAGGCATTGTAAACAGTCGATCCAAAATATTGAAAATACTTAAAAAAAAAAATAGAAAATATAAAATATATATACTTCTCGGTTGCTTTACGGAAAGTGAGGAGCTTTTCTGTAATGCTGGGCGAGCAGCTCAGCTGGGCTAGCAGGGCACACTTCGTTCCACAGCTTTTCCTTTCCAACTTTTATTTTAGAAAACTCAAGTGAAGGCAGTGTAAAGCGTGAAGAAGACTCAGCCAGAACTCAGGCAAAGCAGTCAGTCCATCAATCAGTCAGTCTGAGCTGATATGTGTGCATATATATATATATATATTTTTTATTCAGGCATCTTGATGACTCACCTGGCAAGCGCCCTGGCATAGTCGATAAGCCACAGTCTCTTATGTGCGTCGCTGTATACGTATTTCTTGCATGGCATAAATTACGGCACATGTTGAATGTTGTGCGTGGCCAACCACCTTTGGTACGGCTACTGGACGGTAACATTCGCCGATGCTGCGACAAAATTAACAAATGGGCCTGACAAACGCCCGATGACTCCCCGAAGCGAGCCCACGAAAAAAGCCGTCGGTCGTTTGCATGCCAAACAGTTTGTGCACTCTCAGCTTTTATTGAATTCCATTACAGTATCATGTCAGTCAGGCGAGCAGCGAGCAGCGAGCCTTCGTAACGTCATCATAAAAGAACGACTCTCCGCCAACATCATCATCATTATCATCATCATCATCATCATCATCATCATCATCATCATCACCATCATCGAACGACCCATCGTTGCTGGCGAAAATAATGAAAAAACATTGCAGTAGCCGAGTGCCTGAAATTGACGTTGTTGTCATTAATGGAAAATTGTTTTAGATGTCCCCACCATTAAGATGTCCATCCGGCTGGTCAACTCAATTGCTGTGCTCGTCCCATGCAGTATGTAGTCTCTCGAGTATGCATGTCTGTATGTGTGTAAGTGTTGTCAATCATGCTGTGTGTAGACAATCGTCAGCTCCAGTCTAGTCTCTGCAGTTCGGTTAGGGATTTCCTCTAGCAGCACAAAAAGCCTTTTTTACATTTGCATAATATCGATAAGTATCGATTTTGATGAAGCCAATTCTAGCTGCTTACTTACGTATTGATTTCATTCTTAATCAAAGCTTCGCTTTTAAGCAACTGATCAATTAATATCGATCACACATTATCGATATATATCGATAGTTATGTGTTGGTTATTGATTGTTAGCTTGGCTATATCATATATCGATTGAATATATTAGTTGTTTTTAAAATATTTCCTATTTGTCTAATATCGATAACTATCGATAAACACAGCTTAGAAAACGATGAGAATTGGAAGAATCAAGCTCAAGGATGCACTTAATTTATCGTATAGTAACTGCATATGACATATAAAAAATCATGTTCTCGATAGGTATCATGAGGATGCCTGACTATCGACTATCGCTGCGTCGATAAGTTCCTAGCCTGAGTGCTGTGAAATTATGTTTTGGTAAAATGTAAAAATCAAAAAAATTTTTGACTAGCATAGCTTTTTGGTTCGTTCTTTGTTGGCGCTCAGACAGGGAGTTAGGCACTTGTAGGAATGTGAGCTTTCCTTTGTTCTCCCTGGAACTAGCCCTGTGCACCGAATGGGATTCGTATCTGTTGATGACAGCGACAACTCGGCTAACAAATTTTGCTGCTTTGAATGTTTATGGTCCGCCATGCGGGCGCACCAGATTTTTGCTCGTGATTACGTCCGACTGTAAAGCAAAGCCCAAAGCCGATTCCAGGCCGATATGCATGGAACTGTGTTTCTGGACAGGCATCCGTCACAGAAGCCCAGACACAGATGCTTATCCAAAATGCTTTGCAAAGCAGTTGGTACCTGCTTTGAGCTAGGCAACTCCAAAAGCTGTCCAAACGAAGCCCTTCAAATGGATTTCTGCATTGTTTTCCTAATGCACATGCTTGAAGATAAGGCTTTTCCATACCATCGGCGTCTTAAAGAACCTAAAAATGAAAATTGAAAATTTAATTATTGAGAAGATTCGATACAACTTAAGATTTATCGATAACACTGTAATCGATAATACGGGAAACGACAACATTGTTATAGATCAAATATTTAAGCAACTCTCAATTAAGCATAACGATAGAAACAGGTATCGATAACTCACATCGCCTACAACTTTTATCGATAACATACTTAACGATAACTTGGTGGATATATGACTATTAAGAACACGCGAGATATATTTAGTATATTACAAGAATAGTGAGCACTATTATCGATCGCCCTACTATCGATAGTATGCAAATCAATAACAAGCTTGTCCCCGACATATTTGTAGCCAACATATTTATCGATAACACATAAACTTAATGCGCAATCGATATATGAAGCTCGATAACATGAAGATAGCCAACATCATCATCCCCGACATCATACTTATCGATAACAAGTTTATCTTATAGAGATGCCTAGTGTGCAGAGAGTCTATGTTTAAGTGAATATGAGTAATCGATGTACTTCGATGTTAGCGAAAGTCATTCGATTACAGTTGAATAGCGATGTCAAAAAAGTCAACTTGATTACTTGCTTTTTGAACATGATCGCATGCTTCTTGCTCTAAAGAGCCATGGCGATTACAATAATGTAAAGCAATTAGGAAAGCAGCTAATAATTGAAATCTAAGCGAAGACATAGAAATGCAAATGCTTCATTCAAACTTAGCACGGAAAGGTAGCTGAAGGAGGCAAGCTATTGCCAAGAAGGTTGCAACTTAATTTCGTCAACTGCATGTTAGAAAGAGAGAGAGAGACAGAAGAGAGAGAGGAAGAGTGAGGTAGAGAAAGGCTTCGGCAGTCAAACTATGTTGTGACAGAAACTACGGCAACTGGTTGCTGACTGAGTTCGTTCTCTCTCGCTCTCGCTCTCTCTCTCTCTCTCTCTCTCTGTCATAGTCGCTGTGCTGGGGGGCTCAGCGCGGCCAGACTCAATTAATTTAAGGGATTTTGGCAAAAACTAAAAGCAACATAGCTGCGGTGCAATCCGGACTGGCAACTGGCAACTGGCTTTGGCATTTGGCATTTGGCGGTCTTCTTGCTCAGATTTTCGGCCCTGGCAAAATTTAATTAAACTGCAAAATTTGTGGAGCAGAGAGAAAAGGGGGGCAGCGGGCTTAGCTACCAACTGCAGCCAGAAAGTTGGCATCTAAATATTATTTTACACGACGCTTTAACTGCAACTTTTGCATGCCTCATAATAATCATAATAATGCCGCGAGCAACAACTGTTTCATTAAAAGAAAAATAAAGCAAGTTAAATAGCGCAAAAGCGAGAGAGGCAGCGGGAAGGAGAGGGCGAGTGGGGGAGTGAGAGAGTGAGAGAGGCTGCTCTGCATTCAGATCATATGGTATCCTGTCTGAGGGACGTGGAGGGAAAGGGCGCAAAGGGGCTCGGTCTCGGCGTATGTTGTTTTATGCGTATGATATTTTGCCAAGCAAAAAGTTGTAAGGCAAAAGAGCAAGAAGAAGATGAAGAATATGAAAATGAAGACGAACAAGAAGAAGACGAATACTCAGCATCAGCCTGCAGCAAGTCGAATTACCAGATACCCTCTTGCGACTAAATGAAGTCAAATGCCAAAACTCTGATATAGCAGAGCAGTTGATAATTTCTTAGACAGGAAATCTTGCGAAGATCTCTAAGAGGCAGGTCTCTTGCTAGCATATAGATAGATATATATATCATATATATATGCATATTTATATGTCTGAGACATCTAAGTTTTCTGTGCGTTACATTTGAGTAGATGATATGAAAATACCCACGACTAGAGCAGCAAGAAGGATAATTTCTTTCGTAGTCCCCCTTTAATCTTTATGCTCCTATTGTTGTTGTTGCTGGCAGCGCTTTTGGCGTGGGAAGCAAGGACTTGCTCTTTTAGTTAAATGTTTGAAAAGAAAAATTAAAAACTTTTTACAACAGCATGCGCGAGCTGCTGCTGTTGCTGCTGCTGCTGCTGCTGCTGCTGCTTCATCTTCATAATATGCTGCCTGATGTGGGCTTGCGTGGGGGGCAAGACAGCAAACGGGGTGTGCTGCAAGTGCAAGTGAAAGAAGTTAAACGGCCAAAGCAGCCCAAAGACAACACACACATAGTGAAGGCGAGAGACAGGGAGAGAGAGACACGTTCCATATGCGACTTAATCTTAACAAACAACAACAACAACAACAAAGAGAATGAAATGAAAAGAAAGGAACATTCGCTCCTGGACTTTGCTGCATGTGGCACATGCCACAGCCGCAACAACACAAAAGAGCTGCATGTTTACGCTTCAGGTGCGCCAAGATAAGTTGACAACTTCTTCTACTGATGAACATTTCAAACTAAAGATTAACAATCTTCATACCGCAAACAGCTGCGCCACATTAGGCTCTCATCACTTCACAAATAGCCCTGGCCTTGACTTCAATTATCAAGTATACGCCTGGGCGTTCCCATGCTCCTCCATAGAGACTTCCTCTTAAGGGACTTCAATTTTCTATTTGCTTATTGAACTCGTTTTAGCTGCAAATTAACTACAAATTATAAAGTGTTACTCAAAGATATTTGATCCATTTATTATTTTCTTTTTTATTCTATTCTTTTGACGCCTCAAGGTATGCTATAGAAAGCATCAAAGTATATTTTGATGGAGGCACCATCAAATTCATAGCATTTCTTATAGATTCTGCCTCCACCTCACATGATGGACCCATTTCCAAACGGCTTTAATTGAATTTGTTACACAAATATTTGCCAGTGGAGCACGGGCATCTGATTCGCTTCGAGTTGTTGACAAGTTGCTGGTCGCAATTGTTGATCCATTGCAATGATTTATTTATGCCAACATTCGTAGCGCCGACTTCTGCTCTTTTTCTCTGTGTTTAGAGCCGCTTTAAGGCTGACATGCCCCGCGCTTGAGGTAAACAGCTCGGGAAGCGGTTTTTGGTAAATGGAAAAAACAAGAAAAATTAGTAGAAGCAGACGAGCAGAAAACAAGAAAAAAACAATATGGAAGGAAAAGAAAGTAAACT